ATGCCATTCCATGGATAGTAACTTTCTTGGGTCTCTGCAGTAGCTCACTAATTTAGGTGCATAAATCTCCGATAAGGTTGCAGACACCAAGATGTCCTGTCTCCCACTCAGTTTGCCTTAATTGTTCTGCAAGCCACCAAACAGCTTCAGATTTGGAAGTTTTGAAAACAACCTTCTTCATTTTAAAACATACATACATTTCAATTTCCTCCACATAACACCAGCAGTTACAGAAACAGCTGTTTCTTATTTTGTAGTGATTATTCCTCAGCATGCACATCCCTGTGACTGGCTTTTGTTTTCATTCTCACAAGAAAAGGCATATCGAGACCTGCACTTTTTTCCCCTTCCCACCATGACTAGCCTGCTCACAGCTTGTCTTTCTCACTGGTTTCAATGTTGTGCTTCACATAGGCTCTGTTCCATGGGTTTCCTTAAAGGGAAATAGCCTCATTTGTATTTACGAAAATCCTCCATTTTTTCCAAACACTACACATCCTGGTGCCTTGACTGTACTGAAACTTGCTTATTTTTAAATTTTACATATTAATGAAAAGCTGCTAAATTCAGAGGAAGATTTTCTGTCATCAGTCGGCATCAGCACGAGAGCAGTCTGCTCTTTAAAGCCTGTAGCTCTGATTGCTCCAAAACATACTGTGCACCATGTCAGTTTAGTCACGTGTGTCAGATAGTAAAAGATCAGGCTCCAAGTGTACAAATCCTGTTGAGATCCGAGAAAGTTCTTTTCATAAATATGAATGAGGGCCAATTTCATGCCACTTGTTACATCCCATGTACTCTTACTTCTTCAGACTATCACTTGTCTTTTATGTGCCAATAATCAATTTGTAAAGCATAAATCATAAAGCTTGTCTAGTTTTCTATTATGCTGCAGCCTATGATTTTACATTTAATCAATTCTCTTATTTTGATAACTGACATTTAGTTTTCATTTTGGCACCTTATCTGTGCTTGAAGGAACAAATAAAAATCACCTTTTTGAAAAGGATTAAAATGTCACCTATTGTTTACTTATAAACAAGTTTTAGAACGGCACCATCACAGCAAGCGTTTAATCAGAAATGCAAACAAGAAGCTCCGCCTGTACACGATGTTCTGCCATACATCAAGCAGTAATCACATTTCAGCATTATCACATGCAACCTGCAAACATCTGCTAAAGAGAGAAAAAATGGAAAAGAAACACCAACAAAACACCCACACACCAAAAGGTTATTTGACTTGCATTCTGTGTGAACTCAGACTGGACATAAGAATCAGGTCCCTGTTGATCAGGGATGAAATAAGAACAAGATTTCTTGGAAGCCAGTTGTTTCTCAAGGTACATTAGATGTACGTTTGAGAGAGTCTTGCAGCTGTAGGATGCCAGCACAGGTAGGTACACTTACATACAGGTGCTCCAAGCTGGGTAGAGACACTAACAGTACAACATGGAAGCCCCACAGGAACCTTAGGGCAGTGGTTTGCACAGTTAAGTAAGGCACACTGAGGCAGGGAAGATCACTTTAGGCTCACTGCCATGCAAATGAGTTTATTCAGCATTCCAAACCATACCAGCTGAGGGTTTGGACTGGAGACAAGGGAGACACATAGGGCTGCTTACAGCCAGCAATCCAGACTGATCTCTTAGGCTGGAGTCACACTGTCTCAGTGTTGGGGTTCATTTGATTCTGAAAGTCCACCAGCCTTACTACTTGAACAAGGCATTAGTCATGTAAACATTTCCATTTCTCATGTATGGAAAAATGTTTGACAAGTTTTAAAGCAAGTTTTCCACTACAAATCAGGGTAAGGTCACAAGCTGACATTCAATTGTGACCAGGGTCTCAGGAGGTTAAAAAAAAATAAAAGGATAAAATTCCTCATGGGTATTGATTACTTTAGGATTTTGAATCTTTGTTTCATACAGTCTGTTTCATCTAAATATTTGTGGGGAAAAAAAAAAGATTTATTTCTTCTCACTGTACCAGCTGATGATCTCAGAACAAGTGACCCAAGACACGATCTACAACTGACAGCACTGCCTTAACATTTCTCTCCTATCTTTTACAACAATCTCTTGAAAGTATAAACCATGGCTGCTTCCTCCTTTTTTTAAATCTCCTGCAGACATCTACTTCTAAGGATGCGAACAGACTCAAACAGTAATCAAGAAATTGTACAACAATCTCAAAGGATGTTTAAAACATTTTCCCTAGTCACAGCCTGTCCCTGTCTCCTGATGACATTTTCTACCATTTAAAAGCTTGCTTTGCTGCTTGGAATTCCAGATTTAGAATTGATCTTTTCCAATGGTTAATGGTGTTGAAGAATACTTAACAAATCCAACCAGAGGCTGAAATATGTGTGTATTTTACATGACAGCATCTTGTTCATCTAACAGCTTGAGTTCCCACAGGAGGTCCACTAACACCCTGAATGACCTGTACAGACTTGCTACTCCCAGACCAACATCCCAGCTGCACAGAAGAATCACATTCCCTCTGAACTTCAGAGCAGGGTGCCTGGACAAAGACAATGACGTCTGTATGCCAGGACATAAGAAGAAAGCCTTCTGTGGTGTTATTTATTGTAGTAACAGGCCCTGGCAACGGTTAGATTCCATGGTGATAACAAATAACCAAGCTCCCAAGGAAGAGACTAGGACATTCCTACTCCCTGGATTTGCAGCAAAGAGAAGAAGATGGTCACGATTTCACCATGGGTTGCAATTTTTCTAACCAGGTCACAGTCACACAGGTGTCTTCTGAGGACCTCCAGAACCACCAGGAAGTCAAAAGCCATGCAGTGACTTCTTCCCCACAGACTGTATAAAAGCGTGTTAGGAGACACCTTAGCATACGAGTGTACGAGGACATATGCAAACAGAGAAATGGTTTTGCCAACCTTAGTGGTAGCTCTGACTCTGTCAGGGAGCTCTTTAAGAGAAGGGCTATAACTCTGCTTAATACAATCCTTATGCTGCAAGGGAAGCAGACTCACCATTTGGCCACATGCACAGTCTAATATTACAGCACCTGAAAAGTTGCTTTTCACAGTCTGTTCCACTTGCCTCATTAAAGATACAATTGTAAGTACTCATCTCCCACATTAGCAATGAACTACAACACTACAGTAAGGTGGGTTTTGCCTTAAAACATTATTTTGAGGGAGGGGGCTTGTATACATGAAATATTATATATGCAAGATACATATGCACAGACACTTTGTGAAGCTTACAGAGTTGAGTTGGCTCAAGCCCAAACATACAGACAAGAACACATCTAGGCTCTAATCCTGCATTATTTGAAGGTTCAAAGCTATTGTTTAGAAGGCACACAGGTTAACACCTTACCAAGTGCTAATTTAAAACTCGGTTTTAAATTTCTAACCAATGTTCCACATACAGAATGCATTTAAAATACTGAAACAATACTCCAATAGAGTCAACTGGATTATGGACACATTTAGGCTTAAGGTCATTGCTTCCATTCCAAAACGCTGTAAGAGACCTTTCCTCACTGTCAACATCCACCTGTGACAGAAGATGGATAAGTATATCTGTAAGGAATGCCCCTTGTCTTCCACTGCTCTCTGAAGCTGGCAATTCTATGGGACTACTCTAGATACTCCCTTAAAAGTTTAGAAGCCCAAGGAGCTTTTCTCATTTGTTTCTTCATTTTCTTGTAGACTAAAAATGACAGTAGCGATGGAACAGAGAAGGTCCCCTCTCAGACTGGGGCAGCTTGGCCAACAGGCACTTCAAAGGATGGAGACAAAGCTGAAGATGAGACTAGTGAGGGAGAGTCCCCTGAAGAACTACCAGAAAGATTTACATCTTTTCAGATAAACAGCAATTCACAAAGCATTGGTAAGCAGTGAATGGAGTTCCTACCAGGTCCATAGACAGAGACCTAGGCAGAAATAAATCTTGAAGGTCTATTGCTACAGCCAACCTCTGTACCGAGAAACATTCACGCGGCGACACTACACAGATTGAGCTCTTAGCGCTGGTTTAAAACCAAGCAATAGTAGCAGAGAGTAGCTGATGATTATGTTCTGCAGCATGACTCAACCCTCACTACCAGAACAGGAAGCAGGGCAGATACTTTTCTTGGAAGACTCCTGGAACTGAGCCTTGTCCCTAAGGGCAGTCCTCTCTAACTGGGATTACAATACACTGGGAAGACAGGTTGCCCATGCGAGGGCTGTCAGTCTGGTGTTACAGTGAGCCAGTTTTTCCTACAGATTGGTCAATACAATGCCCTAAGATCAGGCAGAGAGAGTGAGTTATTCTTTAAGTTTGCAATTGAAAGTTGCAGGACCAGTCGTCATATGGAGAAAAGTAAAAAAATTCCAGGAATTGTCATGACAACAAGCAAAGGTGTGCTAAGATTATTTTTTCTTTTCTTTCTTTGCCTTTTTTTTTAAGTGCAAGCAAACACTTAAACCCAAAGTTTTATATAATCTTCGGATATCATTGCAGTAATAGAGAATGGAAAAGCAGCGCCATTTTTTGGCATATTTAAACCCGTAATTTCTTAGTTTAATTCTTGTATTTTTCAAGTGCTATGAACAGCTTACATTTCACAAACACACTAAATGGAAAATCTACAGTACTTGTTTACTCTTTGTAATAAACAAGGGTTGTAATAAAATATTTCAAATTGAACACAAGGAATAATTACTTGTTTTTGCTATTCATTAAAGAGGACTTAACTCCCAATGCCACAGAAGGATGTGATGAAAGGATTTCATTTCGTATTGAACAAAATTATTTGCTTGCTCTGAAATGGTTTCATTTAATTTTAAGCCCCTTTTGCTCCCACTTGCTGTAAGATAACTTCACAGGAAATTTTGCAACAGAAAGTTTTTTAAATCATGCTTCAATCTTCTTTTTCAAGACCAAAAAAACATACCATACCAAGATACTTCAACTACATTTTTCTCCTGAATGGATTAGTAAAACCAATTCAAATTCACATCACCTGTCAGCATTGCCCACTCGTCCTGCTTTTACTTTTTGCTAAAATGTGTTTTGCTGTATACTGCGTTCTGACATTTACATGTTCTGACTGACAGCTGAACCCCAGTGCTTTTTGGGTAACTGGTTTGGTTATTTTAGGAGAGGTACAGAGTTAGCCTCTACAGGGTGGTAGATGTTCTGTATTTGTGTTTTACAACTGAAAAGTAAGACAACGTTGTCATACTCACTCCGCTTATAAAGACTGGCAGATGTCAAATAACTGTGATTTTGATTTGGTCCAAGCATTCTTCATACAAAAGCTCTCACTTCTGCCAAGAGAGGTTGGGCAGATGGTAGAACTGTCAGCTGAGGGCTGAAAAAACCTGATGGGTCTTGGCAATAAAGTTGTTCGTTGTTTATTCATGTCTAATATGTGGAAACTAAACACTCACTCAAAAGAGTTATCAAAATAATTTGTTTTTCAGTCATAATTGCTGTTTATAAATATATAATTGTTGGAATGTTTATGATCAGACTCAAATGTAGCAATGCTGTTTCAATAAAAATCATAGACCACAGAAACACATGAAAGTTTGGGTTCATTTAACAGAAGAACACAGTGACCTTTAAAATATGGCTCATTAGAAGGCTTGTACTATCTGTCCCAGCAAGGCTTTCTCTGACCAGATCACAGAACCCTCAAGAACTCAAATTATAGAAAACTCCCTATGGATCTTCTTTGGGAACACGTTCAAAAAATCGGCTTCACACGTCTTCAGCATATGCTTCCACACTTTCCTGAATGTGCCCCTTTGGGTGTAACTGACTACAGTGAGAAACTGGACTAAGTGCCTGCACCATTTTTCAAGCCACTAGAAAGCTTACTTGCAAAGTTTAAGCAGTGAAGAGACCCTCCAGCAGGCCTAGAGAGTCTCAATATGCAACCTCTCAAATAAAAACTCTGGCATTGGAAAAACATCATGAAACTTTGTTTGAATGCCAAATGCTCTACAAGAATTAAGTTTTAATGTTTGCATTTTTTGAAGACAGCAAGTTCATCAGTAAATCCTTGACCTTAGAGGAGAGGCAAAAATCATCAGACATTCTTGAGGAGCTGAGGGTGCAGGGAATAATCAAAGGCCAAAGTACCACTGCCAGAACTGGAGAAGCATATAAGAACAAGGTAAGTGTCACTATATGAGACAGGACCCTTGCTACATCTCTGACCCTGCTGTGAACACCCCAAGATTCAGGTTTTTGCCCACACAAAGCATCCAACTGTATCTCCACTAAGACTTTAGAAGCAAGATGTTAAACAACAGAGAACTGCATTCTAGGGGCGTTAATACAACAGAAGCTAGTAGTAGGTTCCAGGTTTTTTACACCTTCTGGGCTTTTTTTTTTAATTATTATTATTATTGGGGACAAAGGAGATAACAACAGTACTAAGAGCTTGCTCTTTGAAAAACTAAGTGAAAGTTACATGCCATGAACTTGTTTCTCAGGTCCATGAAACCAGAAGAAATACTGCTGTCAGGGCTTATAATTACACTTTAACTAAGATATCAGAAATGCCAAACATTCACACTTCTGAGAAATCTACAATTCACATGTGATCTTAGACTAAGAAATCATTAAAAAATTTAGTTTTGAAAAAAATTACAGAACTGATATTTGACTAAGATGCTAGTGTCCATTTTTTTTTAAAATTCTGATTGATAACCTGAGGCTTAATTTGGCTTCTGAACTCAAGTTAATTCTCTTGTTGTCAAGCATTGTGTTAGGGATCAGATGCCTGTTCAGACAGGGTTTCAACTACAGATGTCAAGAGGGAGAAGGTCTGCAGGGAGCCTGTAAGAAGTTTAATGCTTTTATGGACATGTGTTGCCTGAAGCATGATCCTGCCACTGCTTGAACACAGGAACAATTCAAGCTCAAACTAAGGATGACTCCAAGTAGCTTTGTCATTTGAAGCAAGCCATTCACACACCTCAGCCATTTACATTATTGAAAATCAAACTTTGATAAGAAGGACTAAACAAGCAAGTGCCAGTTTACAGTGTGCCCACCACTGGTGCCTAACATGTTTCCTGTTGCCTGCACTTTGGAAAATGTGGATGGAGGGTCTCCAAGTACAGCTTCACCATAGCCTTTACTTGCCTCCTTCAGACAGATTTTTGAGTGTCTAAGAGGATTATCCCCTCTGTGGCTAAATTTAGGCAACATACTGCAGGCACGTTTTTGTATTTTTTCCCTTCATAAGACAGGCAAATGTCTGCTCTTGTATTAAAAAGCTGTCTGGTATTAAATTACACCGATTCTTTTATTGACAGAAACTCAGTCTCTGCTATTTCTCCTTAGAGAATTTCTATCCTCCCAATGGAAGCAAGGCACTTTTTTTTTGGTGTTAAAATCAGTACAGCTTTTAAAAATGAACCTCATACTTTTTGCTAACAAAGTCAACTTTTCCAAGGGATATTTTACATTTGAGCTGGACAGCCTACAAGTGAAAACATAAATCTGTCACTAGCTGTTAACTATTGGTTCTCCCTTAGCAGCAATTGAAAATTCAGCCTATGCTACCTCCTGTAGGACTATCTGATTCCAATAAAACTGAAATTCAGCAGATAACCTATGAGTAGATGGACTAAAGGCACCGACTACAGATGCAGTAGTTTATGTCTGGGTTTATTACCAGACATATTGCAAATTACAACATGCAGCTCTAGATTTTCTGCATTGACACATGGGTAAATTCACATCTGAATTTTGAAACTGACGAGGAATAAGCATGAATAGCTTTATGACACATTTCAGTCCAGCACTAGTTTCAGTGAAGAAATGTACTCACGGCCCTTGCAACACTATAAAATATGAATACAACCAGGTCTGAGATTATTTTTACACTCATATTGGAGATAGAGATAGCTTTGCAAGAGATTTCCCTTTCTGTGCATACTTCTGCTTCACGTGTCTGCATCCCTTAAGCCTTGGCATCATTACCCACCTTATCTGGATTTCCTGCCATTGCCACCACTGTGAAACAGCTATGCTGGAAGTCTTCAGTCTTTTGACTACCCTTACTTTATCCTGAACAAAGAACTCCAAGCAGTACAGGTTAGGATGCCTTGTTACACTTGTTTCTAAGCATTACTGTTCTAAAGGAGCAGTACCTTTGAGAGCAATATTTTATGGGTCTAGCATAACAAAGCCAAGGTGGACACATACCATGGGATAAACCAGCTTCTACAATTTTAGTAGTAGCTCTTATGAAAAATGCCAGCAGGGACAGAGGTTGCACCTAAGATACAGGTGTCTAGCATTTGGGGGGGCAAAGTAACCACTCTTTTTCCCTTTAGTGCTTCAAAGAAATTGTACAAAATCATGGAATATCTCAAGTTGGAAGGGACCTGTAAGAATCCCTGAGTCCAACGACCCACTCCGTTGCCATTATACTATTTTCCATGTGCGCCATGAAGACAATGTTTGCAGCATTTGTCAGTTCTTGAATTTGAGAACAAAGATGTCGATATTTTCTCACTTTTTATTTTTTTGCTGCCTCTTCCAAAGATGTTTCCTTAGTCTTATATCTCACTGTGATATCTAATACATATGCTTGGATTTTTTTCTGCAAATACCAAGTCTGGCTGATACAATTCATTGTTTCGATCTCTGATGTTCAACTCTGGGAATACAATCCGAGCTTTCTTTTTCGCCTCATTTGTTAGTATTTCACACAGTTGATTGTGGCTTTTAATTCTTGCCTCTTGTACAGCAGGATGATATGTACCTGATGATATGGGCACTTGATTTGTTTTCAAGGCTGGCAATGTCTGCAGAATTTGATGCAGCTCTCTTGTCCACTCTTTGCCAGGAATTCTCTTGTAGGGTAAACATTGGTCTCAACTGTATTGCTGTTATGAGTTTTCTGGAAGGTATGCCTCTGTAATGTTCAATCCAATAATTACTGATCTTGTCTTTCTCAAATTTGGAAATATGACAACCCTGGAAAACCAATCTGGTCTAGTTGACAAATTCTTGTTTCCACCAGTTGCAAGGTCTTAGATGATTTTCGGAGTGGGTACCTCCCATTGAACAACCTCAATACAGTTAAACCAATGGTAATTAGTCACCAGTTATTGATCTGGAGTTCAGGTTTGGCTGATTTAGTTGTTAACACAGTCCAGCACCCTCTCACCGTATCAGGTTTTGCTGATTTAGTTATTAACATAGTTGGCATCTTCTCACCATATCAGGAGTCATTCCAGAGGCCAACCAGAGAGTGAGGATTTCCATAGTCTGGGAATAGTCAGGGTCCATTTTAATAAGCTCACTCAAACTAATCCCATATAGCCCTGGAGCAGAGTTCTTACTCATATCTTTGATGTTTTTGGAAATCTCCGTAGCCATGATCATCGCTTAGAAAGCATGATTGTCTGATTGACTGGTCGATCAGAATTCACCAAGGCCCTTGAATGTTCCAGGAGATTCCCGTCTTGATTTGAACACAGCGTGCACTTTGTCAAGTAATATTTCACACTTCAGGGATTCTACAGCCTCCAGGATGATACCCACTAATTTCCCTCGACCCAAATGAAACAGCCACTGGAATTGTAGAAATTGCCCCTTCTTGACACCCTTCTTCTTCATCTACTCCTTCTGAGTTTCTGAGGAATGAGACCTGCAGGTCCTTTGGCAATCTGCATTGAGCAGACCATTTTGTCAAGTCAGGCCAAATCAGTCTGTTCAATGTGAGGGTAGTGTAAGGCAGACAGCACACCCTCTAGCACTGTTGAGCTGTACCAACCTAATACCCATGGGCAAGGCTCTGGCTAACAAATATATTAAGTTCATTCCCATGAATTTATTTCACCAAACTGGGGTGAAACACCCCTTCTCCCAAGGAACAGCAGGAGTTGAATTATAGGCAGTACTGGACACTTTAGTTTGTTACTGCTCCAAGAGCTGGAGGATGTCATTTATCCAGTACCTCTTTTTCAAGCCTGCCTTTAAAGGCACTTCTATGTGTGTGATCCAGAGGGTAAGCAAAAGTACCAAAAGCTGTAGCTTCAAATGGAACAGTCTGTGGGAATTTTATCTCCGTATCATGAGTTATCATTTACAAGGAATGTGCACAGGTTATTTTAGTGTTTCCATTGCTGTTAGCTTTCAGTGTGGGTTCTTTGAAGCTATGAGGGCTCTTGATCTCCAAAAACTGTTTAGCTCAAAGACAAGTTCTTTTCTCAGCTTACATAGACACAGAACAATCTGGAAAGCAACCTGCTTACTGAATAGTCTGCTTTGTTTGGACATATTGGGAATAATTTTCCATCCATCTCTTCCTATGCAGTCCACAGTTTATTTTGGGTAAGGAATAACATGGTCAGCAATACCTTCCTGCTTTGGACTACAACTAAGAATGGCCTTTCTCATTAAATAGAAGAAGGCTTTTTTTCTTTTGGAAAAAAAATAATCTTTTGATTCATTTTTATGATGATTGAACATTACTTTGTTCAGATTTTTTTGTGTCATCCGCATTCAGCATGTCTCCTTTGTATATCAGTTTTCTTCCTACTGATTCATGCTCCACCTTCATCTCACTACATGAGTCATCTTCTATACTATTTGCAGCACTTAACACTTCTGGTGGTGAGGCCTTACTTCTAGAGTTATTTATGGCAATAAAAGTCTGAGGAGCAGACAACTCAGGAAACTTGTAACAGGATAGTGATTATTTCAACCCTAGGTCCTCAGTGAGGGTTTAACACTTCTAAACCTCAGACAGAAAATGGCAGAATTCAGCCTCCTGGCTAATCACATAATCACCGCACTTTTCCAGGACTAAGTGCTGCCCTCAGCAGCAGAGCTCTAGGATTGAGCTGCTCATTTGTATGCAGCAAAGGCCAGCAGTGTTATGATTATGAATCTCTAGCAAAACCATTCTTAAATCTCTTCAGCAGTAAGTAACTTCCCTAAATCCTTAGGACCTCATTACCGAATCCCCACATCTGCTGGGTGTACAGCAACACTACAACACAGACATCATTCAGCAGAAAAGGGGAATTCTTGCTGCAAACAACACTCCCTCATGAGTGAGCACTGAGGTTATTAGCACATCATTATTTCTAGGCTTCCACTGGTATCAGAGTCCAGCACCTCCATGCATGAAAAAAAAAATAAAGCAGAAGGCAAGCAGAAGAGTGTCACCCCAACATCAAAATATACCCTGCTGAAAGCCTTTGATGTCTCCACAGAGAGATGCCCTGGAAAAGGCACTGAAGAAACCCCCAGTGAGGCTGGAAAAAATTCAGTTTGGAAATGAAGAGGTGGGTGATTTTACAGTGAAGGACATGAAGACTTCTGCTGAAGCAAAGAAACAGGTCATCTAATTTTGCTGTGTATTTTTCCAGCGTTTGCTTTATCACCTGAAACCCTCTACTTTTTAATAAATCAAGCTAACACAGACAGTTTATGTACAGCCTACTACCAAAACCTGATTAACTGCAGTACAGTGGGTCCTATATTCATCTCATAGATGTTGCAAGTCCAGGTTTATTTTTGTTGAAAGCCTGGAAGATTACTCTAAAAATATTCGTAAGAGAGGAAACTTCTAGAGCAGGCTTTTTTTTCCTGTAGCAAAAGATGTATCTTCCATGGATGCCAGAATAAATCGACTAAATCCAGTGCTAGCTTGAGTAACAATCTGATCACATTTGGGTAGAAACAGAAAAAACTGCTACATGTTTTTGACACATATCTACTTCCATTTCTCATTACACAGCATTGGCACTTTCATTGTTTTGTTCTAGGTTTGGGGAAGACAAAGGGAACAAAATGCCACATCACTTTATTTTTTATTTTTAGAATAAATCGACTAAATCCAGTGCTAGCTTGAGTAACAATCTGATCACATTTGGGTAGAAACAGAAAAAACTGCTACATGTTTTTGACACATATCTACTTCCATTTCTCATTACACAGCATTGGCACTTTCATTGTTTTGTTCTAGGTTTGGGGAAGACAAAGGGAACAAAATGCCACATCACTTTATTTTTTATTTTTCAGCAACTGC